CAATCTTCAAACGGGTTGGGTTCTTCGCCTAGGTAATTTGTCTTTTCTGGGCCTCATGGAGCCTTCTCGCCACCACGGCTGGATCGGCCTCGGAAAACGGATCGGGATGGTCCCCAGGGCGGGTCCGGGCACCGATTCTAAACAGATTTTGACAGGCAGGAGGAGAGGAGCCAACATCGACCAGGAATCGATACGTCGCCGATGCATCGTTCACGGGCCCCCGAATACCGATACAGCGTGTCACTGGGCACGGCGGGGCAGTCAGGCCGATGTCTCCCCTAATGAGCCCATCCCAACCCTTTCTTCGCCCCCGGCCTGCCCTTCGCCGACCTCATCTTCTTGTTGATGTCCACCTCGGGATCCGACGCACAGGGCCGGCTCGGCTGTGATGAGGACGAGGATGGTGTCATCAGTAATAGTGATGGCGAGAACGAAGATGACGATGAGGACGATGATGATGATGCTGACGATGATGATGCAGCTGTTCATGCCGATGATGATGCTGATGCTGATGCTGATGATGATAATGATGCTGATGCTGATGCTGATGCTGATGATGATGCTGCTGATGATGCTGATGATGATGATGATGATGATGATGTTGATGATGACTTTGATTGGGGTGGTGGTGGTGGTTCTGATGATCATGAAGATGCTAATGATTTTGCGGGCGATGCTGATGGTGGTCATGATGATGATGCTGTTGGTGGTGGCGTGACAACCGTGGTGATGGAGATGGTGGTGATGATGACGATGGACAAAGACAACGACAACGACAACGATGATGGTGATGATGATGACGTTGACGACGATGATGATGGTGATGATGGTGGTGGTGATGACGACGATAAGGATGCTGCCACTGCTGCTGCTGTTGATGATGTCGATGCTGAAACTGATTATGATGAGAAAGATGACGAGGATGGGGGTGATGATGGTGGTGATGTTGGTGGTGGTGATGATGATGATGATGATGCTGGTGAAGATGATGATAATGCTGATGCTGATGCTGGTAGTCATGCTGATGAGGAAGATGATGATGCTGCTTGTGGTGGTGATGATTATTCGGAGGATTGTGTGGATGATACTGGTGTTGCTGGCGGTGCTGGTGGTGGTCATGCTGATGTTGTTGATGATGGCGTAACAGCCTGGGTGATGGCGACGATGGCGATGACGACGATGGTGATGACAATGACAACGACAACGACACCGCAACGACAACGACTATGGTGATGATGATGATGACGTTGACGACGATGATGATGGTGATGATGGTGATGATGGTGATGATGAGGATGATGATGATGACAACCATCAGGATGCTGCCACTGCTGCTGCTGATGATGATTATGACGATGATGCTGATGCAAAGGAAGATGACGAGGATGAGGATGATGATGGTGATGCTGATGGTGATGATGATGCTGATGCTGGTGAGGATGAGGATGATGAGAATGCTGATGATGCTGATGCTGATGATGATGATAATGATGATGATGAGGAGGATAAGGATGAAGATGATGATGATGATGATGATGATGATGATGATGATGACGATGACAAGGAGGATGATGGTCATGATGATGATGATGATGATGATGATGATGATGATGATGATGATGATGATGATGCTGATGATGATTGTGGATGTGATAATGATTCTGATGACCATGCAGATGCTAATGATTTTGCGAGAAATGCGGATGGTGGTCACGATGAGGTTGTTGATGGTGGCGTGACAACCTTGGTGATGGCGACGATGGTGATGACGGCGATGGTGATGACAACAACGACAACGACAACGACAACGATGATTGTGGTGATGATGACGTTGACGACAATGATGATGGTGATGATGGTGTTGATGATGATACCGACGATGAGAATGCTGCCGCTGCTGCTGATGATGGTGATGAAACTGATGATGAACATGTTGATGATGATGATGATGCTGATGATGATGATGATGATGATGATGATGATGATGATGCTGACGAGGAAAATTACGAGAATGAGGATGCTGATGCGGACGATGCTGGTGGTGATGATGTTGGTGAGGATGAGGATGAGGATGCGGATGATGATGCTGCTACTGATGATGATTATGATGATGATGCTGCTTTTGATGATGATGACGATGATGATGATGATGATGATGGTGATGGTGATGGTGATGATGATGATGATGATGATGATGATGATGACGATGCTGACAATGATGCTGACGATCATGATGCTGCTGCTGATGATGATGATGATGATGATGATGATGATGATGATGATGCTGATGCTGCGCGTCTCGCCTGCCGCTGTCCCGTAGACGGCGAGAGCCCGAATATATGGGTTCAGCGCTGGGTGGTCTGTTGGCCTCCTGGCGCTTCTTGAGGCGGGGCTGGGATGCGGATAACAATTGGCATGACCAATTACCCACAACTCTGAGACATGGTGGGGTGGGAAGACGTACGGGGCGCCACGGTCTTTCCTCATCGTTCTGGATCACTTCAAGTCAGAATGCGCCGTTAAGCGTCATAACTAACCAATGATCATCCGAAGGCTGCCTGACTCCTGCCCGCCCCATCGAACGAGACGCCAGGAACCCGAGGGAACTACTCTCACCGAGCCGTGCGGTCGCCAGGCCAGTGTGGACCCCCAGCTTCGTGAGGCCCCGATGGGCCTCGGGGTGATCCAGGAGCAGCTCCACGATCTTCGCGTGCCCGAAGCGGATTGCATAATAGATCGGCGTTTTCTGCCCTCCGCCAGGCATGGTGACATTCACGTCGGCCCCAGCACCTAGAAGCTCCTGCGGCAGAGACGGGAAGGGGAAGCTCAACGGAAGAGTCTTCAACTGTTCCTCTCGGCCGCCACGACGCCTCTTCTAACGCGCAATGCCGTTGCATGTGGAGAGCTTCCAGATTGTCGAATAGTCTCCCTCCTCCTCCTCCTCCGCATCCTCCTCTGCAGACTGCTGCTGATGTGCCTCCTCCCCCTCCTCGTGCCCCTCCCGCTCCTCCTCCCCATACCCCCTCCCTTTCCCGCTCTTCCTCCCCCTACCCCCTCCACCTCGTCGTTCGTCAACGGCGTCGGCGTCGGCGTCGGCGTCAGCGTCGTCGTCGTTGTCGTCGTCGTCTGCAGCGGCGGCGGCGGAATCGCTGTCCTCGTCGTCGTCGGCGCCTGGCCGTTATCGTCCTCGATACCGCGGGTGCGAATGGCCGCCAACCCCTCCTCCTCCTCCTCCTCCTCCTCCTCCCTCCTCCCTCCTCCTCCTCCCTCCTCCTCCTCCTCCCTCCCCTTCTTCCTCCTCCTTCTCCTCCTCCACCTCATCCTCCTCCTCTTCGTGCCTCCTCCTCCTCCTCCTCCTCCTCCTCCTCCTCCTCTGCCTCCTCCTCCCCCTCTCTCTGTCTCTCCATCTGTCTCGATCTGAGGGTACCTCGAACGCGGCCGTCCCCCCCCAACTCCAGGGCAAGGGCAGGTCGGCAATGTAGTCGTCGTGCGGCTTGGGGAAGCTGCCCACGCCTTTGCCGTTGGTGCCCTTGGTGTTCTTGCCGGCGCCCTTGTTCCAGACTGCGTCGGGGAGTTGGACTGCCTATTGTGCGGCCCATTGTCCTGCCTCCACCGTTCAAGGCCTGCGCCGATCGCGAGCTCAGCTGGGCGCGTTGGTGGTCCCCTGTTTGGCGTGCGGCCCGAGGTTGATGATCTCCATGGCGGTGATGTGCTCGCTGGCCTGCTCGCGGTCGAGCCCCTTGTGGGATCATGTAGTGGATGTCGCAGTGATTGTTGCGCATTGTGGTGTGCTTGAAATAGTTGTCGTGCGGCTACGTCGGCTCTGAGTAGCGTGCGTGCTGCTGCTCGCTCTCGACGTTCTCGTCGGTGCCACGCTGGCGCCCAGGTGTCGTGGTGCTCGCGGCGGTGCTGCGTACTGTTGTGAAGTAGTGGTAACCTGACACCTGGGACATGTGAGCAAGGACATGGAAGAGGTGAGTGGAGACGGAACGTGGATGCACATGTTCTGGTGCAGGTGCGCGAGCGCCCTCTTAGGGCGGGGCACCGTCCTGGCTGCCGCCCGAACTCTTCGGGCAAGCGGCTTCCTCCACGTCCTCCTCCTCCTCCTCCTCTTCCTCCTCCTCCTCCTCCTCCTCCTCCTCCTCCTCCTCCTCCTCCTCCTCCTCCTCCTCTATTGATCTTCCTTATGAATGACTCCTCCCTGTCTCACCCCGAGGCCAGTCGGAAGGGCGGGCCGGGAGTTTCGCTTGAGACGTCCTTACCACGTATGAGCCCGAATCTTTGAAACTGCAGCAGCTTCATACATGGAGGGCGGGTCGCTTCCAACATGCGGCTCTCGCCCTAGCGTCGTGCACATTCGTTGTAAACATTTGCAGAAGTTTCACGGATTGAGAGCGGGTCGAATTTCACACTGTGGATCTTGCTGTAGCGTCGCGCACATTCGTTTTAAAACTTTGCAAGAGTTCCACGGATTGACGGCAGGCGGTTTTCACAATGTATCTCTCGCCTCAGCGCCTCGTACACTCGCTTTTAACATGTACAAAGAGCTTCGCGGATCGAGGGCGGTTCCTTTTCAACATGTGGCTCTCGCCTTAGCGCCGCGCACACCCGTTTAAACAAGTTGCAATAGCTTCACTGTTTCTCATGGGCAACGTACCAGAGATTGTGTTTGGGAGCGATTCAGAACTGTCAGGGCGCAACTGTTACGTTGATTCGCGGTGTGGAAATTCCAGGAATGGTGTTTTGGCACGGTTCAGGATCGCCAAGACGCAACAGTCAAGTTGCCTCGTGGCGTGAAACCCATGAGAATCTTGTTTTGGCGCGCTTCAGGATTTTCACACGGTTGTCCGTCAACGGGGCACTTCCGTCCGTGAGTGGAAATGAACCCTTGTCAGGGCCTATGAAGAGGGAGCTTGGAGGGAGGGCGCATTCCAATCCAACATCGTGATCAGTCTTGGGTTTGCACTCCTTCTCCTCCTCCTCCTCCGCCTCCTCCCCCGCTTCCCTAACCCCGTACCCCCACTATCGTGCAGCAGGAGGAAGCCCTGGCGGGGGCGACGGGCGAGCAGAGCCCGGGCTCCTCCACGAGCCCCGCGTCGCCGTCGAAGGCCGCCTTCGTCAAGGCTGGCCATCTTCCATACTCCTCCAGGGACGAAGGGGGGATACGGACAAGTCTGGTACCTCGGGGAGCTAACGATGGCATAAACATAAACTTTCGGAGGTCCGCGTTGATGTCTTGCATTGGCGCTGGGCCCCCCCTGGCGGCGCCTCTGGCGCCCCCTCCCCGGCGCGCCCCGCGCGCCATGGAGGAGGGCCCAGCGCCGATCCTGGAAATCACCGCAGACCTCCGCAAGTCCATGTTTATGTCATTATCTGCCTCCCGAGATGCGGACAGATCTGGTACGGCAAATTCGTGTCGTGACGACCTGGGCGTTGGCTCCTGATGCCGCGTGGACCGCTCAACCTTGAGCGATCGGCGATCCGGGGCTTATCGTCCGCCAGGTCGTTCCATATCGGCTGGTTCTGGGCCACCAGCGGCGTTCCACCCTGAACGACCGCGGCGGGGCTGCCGTGTTGGCACGCCGCGGACCTGCTATCGCACGTGTTCCCCAGAGATCCGGCGGGCACGAGGGGGTATCGGGTGCCGCGGCTGTTCCAGAGCGCCGCAGCGAACGCTCTGAGAAGGGTAAAGGATAAAGCGTGACAAACTTCACAGGCGTGGCCTTTCGGAGGGCCGCGCGAGTTTCTCGGATGGGCGCTGGGCCCCTTCGCTACTCCACTTCCCCAGAGCGCGCGGAGCACGCCGGGGTGGGCGCCGGAGGCGCCGCCCAGGGGTGCGGGAGGGGCGGCCAGCGCCGTCCCAAGCAAAGCGCGCGGACCTTTGAAACATCATTTTTTGCACCTGGGCTCGAGCTAAACAGTGGTTTCCGTTTCCGTTTTCGTTTCGTGTTCGGCTTCCCTCGGTCCGCCTTCCTTCCGCCTTGGGCTGCAGGACGGGATCAAAACGAAAACGGTCCACGAAATCGCCCAGACACCGTTCAGATCGAGCCCTGCTTTGCACAACTGGCTTTCCAAATGTCGGAGCGAGGGTCCAGCAATGCCATGGGGGGGGGCTCGGACGGCCGTGGCCTTCTCCCAAGGGGAGGGGGGGCGGCAGGAGCTCCGAAGACCCCCCACCCACCTCGAGAACTGTCCAGAAAGCTCCAACGCTCCTTCGGTCCTCGATGCCCCCTCTTCTGCCCTCTTGGGGAGGCGCAGGAGATGGGAGCGGACAGCGACCATATACGCGACTCATGTTCGTCGCAAGGCTGTCCCGCGACTCGAACCCACCTCCTGCATGCGCCTCGATGGTCAGGATGAGCCAGCGACCCCCCGGGTGTGAAAGAACACGAAGCGGCGTAACCATGAACTTCGGTGGCCCGCGCGGATCTCTCGGGTCGACCCTGGATCCGTGCCGCCTCCTACGCGGTCCCGGGTGCGCTCCGCGCTCCAGGACAGCGGGGGCCCAGCGCAGACCGAAGATGTTGGCTCGGACATCATGAACACTTGATGTCTGCATGATGCGTGGCGATCCTGCTGAGGCGATTCCGTTGGCAGCGCACACGACCACACGCATCCGACGCCGTGAATTTGTGAAGCCGCGGCCCCTGAGCTCCCGACCCCTTCCTCGGGGACAGTTCTCCATCCCGAGGCCCGAGAACGGGTCCGAGAAGCCCACATCGAGGAAAAACGCTGGGACTGAAACAGGCAATCCCTCGACGCCTGGGACTGCCCACGAGTCTGCCCCGAGAGCCTTGCCGTCCAGGGCCGGCGGCAGCGGCGGCGGAGTGCCAGGGCCTCGCGCGGCCCCGGCGCCCGCCGCGGCTGGCAGCGGGGGCGGAGTTACCATGCCGCGCGCTGGCGGAGACCGCGACCTCGGGCTTTCGGGCGGGGGCGGGGGGGGGCGGGGACCTGGGGGGCGGCAGGGCCCAGACCCCGCGCCCAGGCATGCACAAGAGAGAGAGAGAGAGATGCATGCATACATCTGTATGCGTACGTCCGAAACATGAAAAATCGTATGCATCCATAGCTGTATCTACGTGGGCACAGTTATATGTACATGCTTGTGTAGAACCTTTCTGTATCTACGCTCACACACATATGTACGTACGTACGTATGTGTGTATTATATATATAGAGAGAGAGAGAGAAAGAAAGAGAGAGAGAGAGAAACAAAAAAAAGGTTATGAAGACGTAAACGTTCACGCGTGTGTATACACATACCTACGCAACGTTACGTATATACACACATATGTATCCGCCACCGCGCCTCTGGGCACGGAGTGGGCGTGCCGTCAAATCCTTTGCCTAATCCCCAGAGCCTCAACCCTCACTCCTCAATCCGGAGGTCTCCATGGCGCCCGGACCCACATTTCCAAAAGTACCGGGGGCTTCCCGCACCCTCCTTGGGACTCGTCGCAGATTGTCGCATGACTTCTTCGGGCCCAAGGGAGCCCGCAGACGCGCCAAGGCCCCCAGGAGGTCTCCAAGACGGTCCAAAAGGGCCCCGAGTCGCAGAAAGATCGCGCCAGGAGGCCCAAGATGGCCTCAAGATGGCCCAAGAGGCGTCCAAGACGCCCCAAGAGGCCTCCAAGAGACTTCCCAAGAGGGCGCCAAGAGGCAACTATCATTTATTTTCCTTTTTTTCCAAAAGAAAAAATTTGGCGTTCTCGCCTTTTCGGCTCTCCGACGCTCCAGGACGGCCCAAGAGGTACCCAAAACAACCCCAAGAGGACTCCAAGAGGCCCCACAAAGGGCTCCAAGACGGCCTAAGAGCGCCTCAAGACAGCCCAAAAGGTGCCCAATGCGGCCTACGCGGGGTCCAAAAGAGGGAGCACGCACCGAAAATCCGACCGTTCTGCCCCAAGAGGCCCCCCCAGGAGGCCCCAAGAGACACCCAGGAGGCCCCAGGAGGCCATCAAGAGGCCTCCAAGAGGCCTCAAGAGGCCCCCAAGAGGCTCCCAAAGGTTCCCAAACGGCCTCTAAGAGGCCTCCAAGCTGCTTTCAAGAGGCCACCGGAGAGGCCCCACACGAGATCTCAACGAACATCCGACTGAACATCCGACTGGCTTCATACGCGCAACCCAGGCACGGTGGCGTGATGGACCGAATACCATTACAGGCACGCGCGCACACACGTATACATCTGATCGGTAAAGGGGTATATACACATACACACAAACACACACACACACGCACGCACGCACGCACGCACGCACGCACGCGCGCACGCGCAAGCGCACGCGCGCACGCGCGCACGCGCACACGCGCACGCGCACGCGCACACGCGCACGCGCACGCGCACGCGCACGCGCACGCGCACGCGCACGCGCACGCGCACGCGCACGCGCACGCGCACGCGCACGCGCACGCGCACGCGCACGCGCACGCGCACGCGCACGCGCACGCGCACGCGCACGCGCACGCGCACGCGCACGCGCACGCGCACGCGCACACGCACACGCACACGCACACGCACACGCACACGCACACGCACACGCACACGCACACGCGCACGCACACGCACACGCACACGCACACGCGCACACGCACACGCACGCACACGCACACGCACACGCACACGCACACGCACACGCACACGCACACGCACACGCACACGCACACGCACACGCACACGCACACGCACACGCACACGCACACGCACGCGCACACGCACACGCACACGCACACGCGCACACGCACACGCACACGCACACACGCACACGCACGCACACGCACACACACGCACACGCGCACACGCACACACGCACACGCACCACGCACACACGCACACACACGCACACACACACGACACACGCACGCACACACACGCACACACGCACACACGCACACACGCACACACGCACAGCACGCACGCACGCACGCACGCGCACGCGCACACTGCGCGCACGCGCGCACGCGCGCACGCGCGCACGCGCACGCGCGCGCACGCGCACACGCGCACGCGCGCACGCGCGCACGCGCGCACGCGCGCACGCGCGCGTGCGCGCGCACACGCGCACACGCGCACACGCGCAACGCGCACACGCGCACACGCGCACACGCGCACACGCGCACACGCGCACACGCGCACACGCGCACACGCGCACACGCGCACACGCGCGCACTATTTGATTCGCGGCCCGCAAGGAAAAGCCCAGAGGGCAGTGTGAACGAGGCTGGGACACAGCGCGCGGGAAGGCAGATAATTAACGGCGCAGCACAAGTGCCGGCCGAGAAGAAGCAGCTGAGCATGTGCCAGCAGCAGAAAATTAACAACGCTGAGCATGTGCCGGCGAAGGATGCAAATAGGAAGCACGAACACGCGCACACGCGCACACGTGCACACGCGCACACGCGCACACGCGCACACGCGCACACGCGCACACGCGCACACGCGCACACGCGCACACGCGCACACGCGCACACGCGCACACGCGCACACGCGCACACGCGCACACGCGCACACGCGCACACGCGCACACGCGCACACGCGCACACGCGCACACGCGCACACACGCGCACACGCGCACACGCGCACACGCGCACACGCGCACACGCGCACACGCGCACACGCGCACACGCGCACACGCGCACACGCGCACACGCGCACACGCGCACACGCGCACACGCGCACACGCGCACACGCGCACACGCGCACACGCGCACACGCGCACACGCGCACACGCGCACACGCGCACACGCGCACACGCGCACACGCGCACACGCGCACACGCGCACACGCGCACACGCGCACACGCGCACACGCGCACACACGCACACACGCACACACGCACACACGCACACACGCACACACGCACACACGCACACACGCACACACGCACACACGCACACACGCACACACGCACACACGCACACACGCACACACGCACACACGCACACACGCACACACGCACACACGCACACACGCACACACGCACACACGCACACACACACACGCACACACACGCACACACACGCACACACACGCACACACACGCACACACACGCACACACACGCATACACACGCGCACACACACAAACACACACACATACATGTATATATGCACAAGACTGCATTGGCGCTTCGCGCCGTGCACCTTGGTCCGATAAGTGGACGGTGCAGGCAGACTGAGAGAGGTAAGCCGTTGAAAACAGAAATCGTTTCTTGTGGCCGATGTCGCCATCATCGTGGTTACTTTGTTCTTCTTGTTCATTTCCTCATTTTTGCCTGCGTTCATTGTCTCTTCCTCATTCTCGAATGAATTGGCATACGAAGGCTTCTTCGTCATCTTCTGATTCGTTCGCGGAAGCTCCTTCGTGGCGAATCTGTGGAGAGCTTCGCGGAAGCGTTGTTAGGGCTCCTTGGGGGCCTCTGGAGGCGGCCGTGGCGCCTTTCGGCGACCAGTGGGGAGGTCCTCGAGGCACCATGCCGAGAGTCGTGGTTCCAGATCACGTGTTGCATTCTCGGGGGAGTTGTCTTGAAGACAATTTGGGCCAGTGGTGAGGCCGCCCGTGGGGAGTTTGGGGGCCGTCTTGGGCCCTCATGAGGCCCTCGTGGGCTGTCAGGAAGCACGTCTGGCTTATCTTAAAGCGTTTTTCTGTGTTTTTGTCCAGCGATCTTGGACGCTTGGAAGACTGAATGAGCGATTATCCGAACATGTAATAAACAATTGAAACATCAATGCTTTTCCAAATTTCGAGCGCTTCTGCCAAATGACATTCGGGTCGTGTTCAGGCGTCCAGCGGGAGTCTGGCCCGCTTGATGCCATCTTCGATCGTTCTGGGAGTCTGTTGGGCCTTGTGCCGGTTGTTTGCAATCACCTTGGGCCAGTCATGGAGCCGCCTGTGGGCAGTTTGGGGACCGTCTTGGGTCCCCATGTGAGAGTGTTGGGGAGACAGGAAACGCGTTTGGCTCGTCTTGGAGCGCTTCCCAGTACCTTTCCAGCGATCTCGGACGCTTGGAGGCCCGAGTGAGCGAGTACCCGAAAATCAGACGACAAACAATGACACATCAATGTTTTTCCAAGTTTCGAACGCCTCTTCCAAATGACATTCGGGCCATCTTCGGGCGTGCAGCCGTGGTCTGGGCCGCTTGATGCCATCTTCGATCGTTCTGGGAGTCTCTTGGGCCTTGTGCCGGTTGTTTTGCAATAGTTTTGGGGCCAATCATGGGGCCGCCTGTGGGCAATTTGGCGGCCGTCTTGGGCCCTCATGTGACCTTGTTGGGGTGTCTGGAGGCCCGCTTGCGCCGTCTCGGAGCGAACTTCAATGGTTCTCCAGCGTTCTCGGACGCTTGGAGGCCCGAGTGAGCGAGTATCCGAACATCAAACGAAACACGATGCAACATCATTTTTTTTATGGTCGAATGCCTCGTGGGGGTGACATTCGAGCCGTCAACGGGCGTCTGGCGGGGGTCAACGGCAACGTGAAACCGTCTTCGACCACCTTGGGCGTCTCATGGCCCTTGCGCCGACCGTCTTGGGACTGCCACCCGCCTGTGTGCACGCCTTTGCAGGGATTGCTAAACCCCCCCTGGTGCCAGGGAGGGCGTTTGGCCAGCCCGAAAAATCTCCAACTCGTTCGGGGGGGGGGGGGAGCGGGGTGGTGGGCTTTTTCCAGCTTGCCCGGCCGTAAAACAAATGAATCGGAATACATACATACATACATACACAAATACATATATATATATATACATACATACATATATGTATATATGTATATATACGTATATGTATATCTATATATATATATATATATTATATATACCCGCCGACCCTGTCGGCGTGTGCGAGGGGCTTCCTCGTCCGTTCCTCGCCGCCCCCCTTCTTCCTTCCCCCTTTTTTCTTTTTGGGCCGTACCCTCCTGCCGTCA